AGGAGGCAAGGGGCGATGAAGGAACGGTAAGAGTATACCAGCCTTTCTAAATATTTTTCCCCAGAGGAGCACTTTAAATAATTCAAAATTAATTCATCAGGGGTCAGAGGAATGAAAGAATGCCCCTTATATTGGTGGCCAGTTGGAAGAATGCTCCTTGCAGTGCTGGTCATATTGCCACCTTTACAGATAGTGAAAAAGATCAATGATGTCATGCCGCTGGCTCTGCCAAGGGGCACTGGCCCTGGAGCTATGCAGGCAACATCAGATGGGAGGTCAATGGTGTCATGCTGCTGGCTCTGCCAAGGGGCGCTGGCCCTGGAGCTATGCAGGCACCATCAGATGGGAGGTCAATGGTGTCATGCCGCTGGCTCTGCCAAGGGGCGCTGGCCCTGGAGCTATGCAGGCACCATCAGATGGGAGGTCAATCTGCCACAGCTAAAGTAACCCTTAGAAACCTCTGGAGGAGCAGTGTATTTTGATGTGTTAGTGTTTAAAGGTAGGTTGTACCTTTTTTAAACTGCTTCTGATTTCCAGAAACACTTGACAGCTAATGACAGCTAACACATATACATTTTTGTTTGACAACCACACACCTATATAAAAGTCCTCCGTCACCAAATCTGCCCTTAGAAGTATAAATATGATTGGTGAAACAGAAATGAGAGACATAGGCAGTTACGATATACAACACAGGAATCAGGAAGTATACTTCCAGTCACCCTGTGTGGTGCTTTCTGAATTTAGGCTAGAGGAGACAGAGAACTCTGACTGAGGTGATGTGAGTAAGCATAATGTCAGCATAGTTGCAGTGTTTGCTGGATAGCAGTTGTTTTCACTTTTTACCTGCAGCTGTTCTGAATGTAATTGTTAAACTAAACTCCAGGAAGATATAAACGATACATTTTAATGCAGCTTTGTAATCTATAATGCATCATCAGATTTATTTTCTAAATGCAAGCAGTGTAAGTACCTGCGGACTGGGAACATGTCTCAGTGCCTGTGATTGGCGCTGACGGCTTGCTGGCGGGCTTGGCATGAGGCGCTTGCGAATACGCCCGAGCCCATCACTAATAAACATATGAGTATATCACTTTGCTTCTTCCCCTTCACTGTCCAGTCACAGGCTGGGGATGGGTCCATGACAGCCTGGTCTCAGAGGAAGTGAAATGAATGATCCTGGCTGTCATTTTCCCTGGAAGACTGAGGACATCTAGTGGCTGAAAAGCAGTACTGAAGCTCTGGATTTAAAGCTGAACTAAAGTCCATTACAATTACCTCAGCTCCAGTGATGCAATGTATGCAAGCACCCAGACCAGTGCCAGTATATTTGCCTGGTCTTCGTCCGGCGATGGCATCTTCAGCCGTCTTGACTGGCATGGGATAATTACATTTTGTGGGAGTAATTTTAATCCTGCCACCCATCAAATGCCAGGATTGGATGTTTTTCAGAAATGTTTCTATATTGACAGCAGTAGCTGCATGTGCTTTTAGCCATCTTTTACAGCTTCCTGGAAGTCCTGAACACCCAGGGAGCTCAATATGCAAATCTATCAGAGGTCTGACCCATCTCCTGCAGTGTGCGCCTCGTCATAGATCAGCAAAGCTCGATGTTGCATTGTGGAGGGTGGTTGGGATAAACGCTGACTTCAGGACCCAAAGCTAAGATTGCATATTGAACATTCCTGCTCTCAGGACTCCTGGGATGTTGAACTATAACTAGGTACACGTGGGCTCTCCTGTGTGCCAGCATTTCACTTCTGTTTGCAGTTTGGGGATTTTTCACAGTAGGTCCACTTTAACCAATGAGGATATAATTTCAGGAGCTGCCATTGCTTATGTCTATTCAGAGGTACAGTGTTGTCACTCTGACCCTGGCTGTGCCATTTAGATACAAACATGCAGAACACTTTAATGGTGGCTGCACCCAGGGCCGGCCTTAGGGGTGTGCGAGCCGTGCGGCCGCACAGGGCACCTAAAGGCCTAAGGCCGGCCCTGGCTGCACCAGGTGAATGACTCTCTAGGTAGAAAAGCTGAGATTATAATGGCAGCAACTATATCTAACCTCACAGGTCCTCTTTTATCACAGTAGTCAGCTTTGCTCTTATAGTCAGAGCAAGGATCATCCTTCAAGTGTACCAAAACGCAGAACAAAGCAAGGGCCGAGGGGTAGATAGAAGAGGCAGCCGCTTTGGGTGCTTCAGCAGGAAGAGGGTGCAATAAGGTCTGGACCTGCAACCTATCATGATGAAATAGTTTACAGGTCATGGAAGGGGGGTGCATTTTACCTTGTCCTTGAAGTGGATTTAGTAAAACACTGGAATCAAAATTTTTTTGATTGGGCCAAGGGGTAGGCAGAAGAGATGGCCGCTTTGGGCACTTCGGCAGGAAGGGGGTGCAATAAGGTCCGGACCTGCAACCTATCATGGTGAAACAGTTCACAGCTCATGGAAGGGGGGTGCATTTGGCCTTGTCCTTGAAGTGGGTTTAGTAAAGCGCTGGAATCAGCATATTTTGATTGGGCCAAGGGTAGGCAGAAGAGACGGCTGCTTCGGCACTTCAGCAGGAAGGGGGTGCAATAGTGTCAGGACCTGCAACCAATCATGGTTAAAGTAGTTCACAACTCATGGGAGAAGGGAAAGGGCACACTTTGGCCTTGTCCTGGAAGTGGGTCTAGTAAAACACTGGAATCAACATTTTTGATGGGGACGAGGGGTAGGCAGAAGAGACAGCAGATTTGGGCAGTTCGGCAGGAAGGGGGTGCAATAGGGTCAGGACCTGCAACCAATCATGGTTAAAGTAGTTCACAACTCATGGGAGAAGGGAAAGGGCACACTTTGGCCTTGTCCTGGAAGTGGGTCTAGTAGAACACTGGAATCAAAGTTTTTTGATGGGCCAAGATGTAGGTAGAAGAGACGGCCACTTTGGGTGCTTCAGCAGGAAAGGGGGTGCAAAAAGGCCAGGACCTGCAACCTATCATGGAAGCAGTTCACAGCTCATGTTACTTTGTCCTTTTCACCTTGGGTGCCACTTTTACCGCCACACTTGTGGAAAAAAATGTGCATAGACGTGTCATGTGATGTGCGCATAGCGCATGGGGCAGCCTATTCATTTCAGTAGGCTGCAAATGCGGCAAAGAACCTCATGAACCTTTTTCTAGCTTTGCACGCTTTTTTACTGCCCCTTTTTTGTACATTTGTCATGCACTACACAGGCGTCTTCCTTGGCGCATTTGGGATGCTGTTTTTGGTGCGCTTGGTGAGCAAACACTGAACTAGTGTGAATGCGGTCTAACTGCCACTATAGCCTGAGCTGGGCTACCAAGAAATCTGCAGCGCTGCGAACAACGTTGTCATGATTGCATCACAGCTAGACACGGGGTTCACCTCGTCTTTATTCTCTTTCTCTGTCAAAATATTTAACCCAGGTGTGTGGCCTAATAAGCAGAATGAAGAACAGAAGAAAAAAAAATTACAGCGCAAAAATCCCCGTGTTGGCAAAAGCTCTGCGTGACGGTGCGAATAATCCAACCGAGGCTAGGGAATGATTCAGAGTGACACGGGGTTCATTTTAATAGATAATTCTTAGAAAATAATGATAATGTGATTCCAAGTGTCTAAATTTAGGCCTATGCTGGGTGAAGTTATATGTATCGCAGGTCGCAGAGAGGCGTTTTTAGTCGCGGAATGTTTTTTCGTGTTTAGTGTTTGGCAGTGGGAACGATATACGCACAAGTATCCTCAGATCATTGTGTTGTATGGCATGATGGGGGGGTCCGTACATAGTGGAGTGCAGAGCATGTGTTGTCATAGCAGAACACATGTTGTCATAGCAGAGAATGTGTTGTCATAGCAATCAGTCAGATTCAATCTGCCACCTCCCTAATGCAAGTTATATATTAAGAATACAAGGCGTCCTGTGATTGGACAAGGAAGATCACGTGGTTTAATCTCCCCATGTGTTCTCCCTTGTTGCCATGGGCAGCATCAATGTTTTTCAGTGGCCCAGTGCAAGCACTATTTTTTCTGACCGGACCGGAACGCAGGCATTGATGTGCCACATGTTTCCGTGTGGCCGGTCGCACTGCGGCCGGAGGGCGTGGCTGCGGTGCCATTGAGTCCAATGCAATGCCATGCCACCTCCCACCCTGCAACAAACTGAGCCAGCCGCAATGCAATCCAGTGTGTTCCGGCCCCAATCGGGCCAGAACGCACTGTGGTGTGAACTAGCCCTAAGAGATTCACCCTCCCTATTCGCCCTAGTGACTTCTATCGCTGAAAGTGAAAGAAAATCCCAAATTTTGGGTTGTCACTGGAACAGGAATAGATGGGAAGTCTTTCAAAGGGGACACTAGTTCTAGTGACCCAACTGACCAACAGGGATTTCCCTCACTTTGAAGAGATTTGCTCTCACTTCCTGTTATGGCTATAGGACAGAAAGTGAAGAGAAATCTCCCCAATGGGACAAAAAAAAAGCTGACAGGTTCCCTTACTCTATCCAAAAATTAAAAAAAATCTTTGGCTTCAGTTTACTTATTACTACTTCTTACAGGCTACTTTATTGTTTATTACTTGTTTTATATATTGCCAACATATCTTGGACTGCATGTACAATGTATTGACAATAGCCAGAAGAGCTTACAGTCCTTATTGCAGCCATTCTCATAATTAATCCACAGTCTATTAAAAAGCCAACGCGTTTCGGGGGCGACCAGCTTCCAGGGGTGGGAATACTCAGACTATATAGAAACCTAATATGAAATGGTGGAATTGCTGGTGGCAACCAAAGTGTGGAAGCCCGTTGGCTTGTTAATGGACATTTTTATTCAATAATCTGACTTTATTGCTTGGACTTTGCCATCGGCCTTGGCGCTCTCTTTGTTCTATATTTCATATATCAACATTGGGTGACCTTGTGAAGAAAGATTGCGATATACTTTACTGCATTTGCTTTGAGAGTAACTAATAACAACCTTTTTGTCGTCCTTTTACAATGCACAGACTCCGTCTCAGCAGAGTAACATTCTGGATAACGGGCAAGAGGATTTGTCTCTCAACCAATGGAATCCTTACCCGCTGGGCCGACGTGACGTTCCTCCTGAAACTGTCGCCAAGAAGGTATATAAAGGGCCACAGCACACACCTGATGCCGAGCACCCCAGACCTATGCGCCTCTATTCAATGCAGATTTGAGGAAAGTCTACTTCCTGTTGTCCAAGGACAGCCTGGGGGATTTTGGAAATGTTTCTCACTGAAATTGTCCCGATTTTTACGATCGATTATGTTTTTGTTATTTTTTTGGAAATTTACATCCCATTCTTTTGATCTGTTTATATTGCAAACACCTTGTGCTGATGACACATCCTGTCTCCTGAGTGTACATGACCGTGGTAAAGCAGAATTCCTGGAAAAAAATGTTTTCTGGCAGTTTGAAATGTATTAATATCTTGCCACTAATGATGGTCAAATCATTAAAAGGATCATTTTTATGCAGCTCTTTCATGGCCGAAATGTACATTTCCGAGTCTAGCACAGAGAAGATAGCGGGTTGTTCGCTCGACACTTTGGCCATTCACAAAACATCTTGTATTTGCTGCCACAGAATACAAGGCGTTCTGGGAATGGACAAGGAAGATCGTGTTGTTCACTCTCGTGAAGGGAGATCACATGGTTTTAATCTCCTGAAGGAAGACAATATGGTTTACCCTTGTGAAGGGAGATCATGTGGTTTACTCTAGCGAAGGAAGATCACATGGTTTGCTGTTGTGAAGGGAGAGAATGTGGTTTTCTCTTGTGAAGGGAGACCGTGTGGTTTACTCTTTGTGAAGGGAGATCACATTGTTTACTCTCGTGAAGGGTGACTGCATAGTTGACTTTCGTGAATTGAGATCATGTGGTTTACTCTTGTGAAGGGAGATTGTGTGGTTTAGTCTCATGCAAGGAGAATACGTTGTTTACTCTCCTAAAGGGAGACAACAAGGTTTATCCTAATGAAGGGAGACAACGTGGTTTACTCTTGTGAAGGAAGATCACCTGGTTTACTCTCGTGAAGGAAGACCAGGTGGTTTACTCTCATGAAGGGAGACCGTGTGGTTTACTCTCGTGAAAGAAGATTACATGGTTTACTCTTGTGAAGGGAAACCGGTTGTTTTACTGTCATGCCGGGAGACCGCATGGTTTACTCTTGTGAAGGGAGACTGTGTAGTTTACCCTCATAAAGGGAGAACACGATGTTTACTCTCATGAACGGAGACAATGTGGTTTACTCTCATGAAGGGAGACAATGTGGTTTACTCTCATGAAGGGAGACAATGTGGTTTACTCTCATAAAGGGAGAATGTGTGGTGTACTCTTATGAAAGATCACATGGTTTACTCTCATGAAGGGAGACCACGTGGTTTACCCTTGTGAAGGGAGACTGCATGATTTACGCTTGTAGAGGGACACAACATTCTTTATTCTCGTGAAGGAGACAGTGTGGTTTACTCTTGTGGAGTTAGACCACGTGGCTTACTCTCATGAGGGAAGACCAGGTGATATACTCTTGTGAAGGGAGATCACAGGGGGAGAACAAACCAACTAACCTCCCTGTCCATTCATGGACATTCAAAGCTTACAGAAGGCTGGAGGGGTTCAATACAATTACCATTTTAACTAATGAAGCATGCAGCCACAGATAGGACACCCATCATTGGTGGTAAGATATTAATAAATTACAAACGGCCCCCCAAAAAATGTTTGGCCCTGGAGTTCCGCTTTAACCAACAGGGCACTATAGTTAAAAAAAAAGCTGACAGGTTCCCTTACTCTATCCAAAAATTAAAAAAAATCTTTGGCTTCAGTTTACTTATTACTACTTCTTACAGGCTACTTTATTGTTTATTACTTGTTTTATATATTGCCAACATATCTTGGACTGCATGTACAATGTATTGACAATAGCCAGAAGAGCTTACAGTCCTTATTGCAGCCATTCTCATAATTAATCCACAGTCTATTAAAAAGCCAACGCGTTTCGGGGGCGACCAGCTTCCAGGGGTGGGAATACTCAGACTATATAGAAACCTAATATGAAATGGTGGAATTGCTGGTGGCAACCAAAGTGTGGAAGCCCGTTGGCTTGTTAATGGACATTTTTATTCAATAATCTGACTTTATTGCTTGGACTTTGCCATCGGCCTTGGCGCTCTCTTTGTTCTATATTTCATATATCAACATTGGGTGACCTTGTGAAGAAAGATTGCGATATACTTTACTGCATTTGCTTTGAGAGTAACTAATAACAACCTTTTTGTCGTCCTTTTACAATGCACAGACTCCGTCTCAGCAGAGTAACATTCTGGATAACGGGCAAGAGGATTTGTCTCTCAACCAATGGAATCCTTACCCGCTGGGCCGACGTGACGTTCCTCCTGAAACTGTCGCCAAGAAGGTATATAAAGGGCCACAGCACACACCTGATGCCGAGCACCCCAGACCTATGCGCCTCTATTCAATGCAGATTTGAGGAAAGTCTACTTCCTGTTGTCCAAGGACAGCCTGGGGGATTTTGGAAATGTTTCTCACTGAAATTGTCCCGATTTTTACGATCGATTATGTTTTTGTTATTTTTTTGGAAATTTACATCCCATTCTTTTGATCTGTTTATATTGCAAACACCTTGTGCTGATGACACATCCTGTCTCCTGAGTGTACATGACCGTGGTAAAGCAGAATTCCTGGAAAAAAATGTTTTCTGGCAGTTTGAAATGTATTAATATCTTGCCACTAATGATGGTCAAATCATTAAAAGGATCATTTTTATGCAGCTCTTTCATGGCCGAAATGTACATTTCCGAGTCTAGCACAGAGAAGATAGCGGGTTGTTCGCTCGACACTTTGGCCATTCACAAAACATCTTGTATTTGCTGCCACAGAATACAAGGCGTTCTGGGAATGGACAAGGAAGATCGTGTTGTTCAATCTCGTGAAGGGGGATCAACTGGTTTTAAGGTTTACCCTTGTGAAGGGAGATCATGTGGTTTACTCTAGCGAAGGAAGATCACATGGTTTGCTGTTGTGAAGGGAGAGAATGTGGTTTTCTCTTGTGAAGGGAGACCGTGTGGTTTACTCTTTGTGAAGGGAGATCACATTGTTTACTCTCGTGAAGGGTGACTGCATAGTTGACTTTCGTGAATTGAGATCATGTGGTTTACTCTTGTGAAGGGAGATTGTGTGGTTTAGTCTCATGCAAGGAGAATACGTTGTTTACTCTCCTAAAGGGAGACAACAAGGTTTATCCTAATGAAGGGAGACAACGTGGTTTACTCTTGTGAAGGAAGATCACCTGGTTTACTCTCGTGAAGGAAGACCAGGTGGTTTACTCTCATGAAGGGAGACCGTGTGGTTTACTCTCGTGAAAGAAGATTACATGGTTTACTCTTGTGAAGGGAAACCGGTTGTTTTACTGTCATGCCGGGAGACCGCATGGTTTACTCTTGTGAAGGGAGACTGTGTAGTTTACCCTCATAAAGGGAGAACACGATGTTTACTCTCATGAACGGAGACAATGTGGTTTACTCTCATGAAGGGAGACAATGTGGTTTACTCTCATGAAGGGAGACAATGTGGTTTACTCTCATAAAGGGAGAATGTGTGGTGTACTCTTATGAAAGATCACATGGTTTACTCTCATGAAGGGAGACCACGTGGTTTACCCTTGTGAAGGGAGACTGCATGATTTACGCTTGTAGAGGGACACAACATTCTTTATTCTCGTGAAGGAGACAGTGTGGTTTACTCTTGTGGAGTTAGACCACGTGGCTTACTCTCATGAGGGAAGACCAGGTGATATACTCTTGTGAAGGGAGATCACAGGGGGAGAACAAACCAACTAACCTCCCTGTCCATTCATGGACATTCAAAGCTTACAGAAGGCTGGAGGGGTTCAATACAATTACCATTTTAACTAATGAAGCATGCAGCCACAGATAGGACACCCATCATTGGTGGTAAGATATTAATAAATTACAAACGGCCCCCCAAAAAATGTTTGGCCCTGGAGTTCCGCTTTAAACAACAGGGCACTATAGTTGGGAGGAATGTATACAATAACTGGATGTGCTATTTGATATTGTTATACACACTCAGGAGCTGAAAGACTGTGTGCGTTAGAAGCAGGAGGCCACTCCTAAAGGCATGTAGCTGATTTATATGTAACCGCAAAGCACACACTATACTTCCCACATCAACTTCTGCGTTTAATAAAACGAACGCAGGAAGCTGCTGAGAATGAGGCCTTACTGAATCCCTTTATTTACATATGTTACTTTTTAAGGCCCTGCAAAGTAATCATGGCTTTTTTTCCTAAACCTTTGCCTTACGACTTGTGTTACCCACAGGCAGGTAGCCATATCCAGACCCTGATGGGATCGCAGAGCTTGCAGCACAGATCCAGGGAGCAGCCGCACTATGACGGCGGGATGAACAAAGTGACAATCCAGCAGTACCAGTCCCCGCTGCCTATCCAGATCCCAGCTGCGCAGAGAGGGCCCCAGTCTGGACGCTGCTTAATCCAAACGAAAGGGCAGAGGAGCATGGACGGATATCCGGAGCAGGTACATGGAGCTTATTTAAAGTACAAACTGGAGAGCTGTGATCCTTGCCTCATCGCTTAGGGCCCATGCACATGGATGCCTGGCATTCAGTATAAAATGTTGGGCATATTTACCTACCCAGGGGCCACGGTGCTGCATATAGCCATACATATAAATCAATGGCTGTAACCAGTTATACGCTGGTACTTGCACAACTACCACATGCATAAGGACATGCAACCCCAGTCTCCCTCCAGGGGAATACGTCTTTATGCGTGTGTTTACACAAGTGTTGGTGCATACCTCCATACAGTCATTGATTTCTACATCTGTAGCTCCCGGGTGCCTGAGGTTTACATTGTATGGCCCCAAGTGTCTGTGAGCATAAGTCCTTGAGGGTTAGTTCACACCATAAGCAGTGCGTTCCGGTCCAATTCTGGCCGGAACGCACTGCCTTGAATTGCGGCCGGCTCACTTTTTTTCTGGGCAGTGGCGGGCCATTGAAGCGAATGGCACGTTAGCTACGCCTTCCGGCTGCAATGCGATCGCCAGCACGGAATCGCATAGGCACATTGTGCCTGCAGTGCGATCCGGTGCAATCAAAATAGTGCTTGCAGCCTTTTGATCGCACGGCACCGGACCGCACTGCAGGCCAGAGGGCGTTTCTGCGGTGCCATTCACTTCAATGGCCCACCACGCCCCCTCCAGCCCAGCAAAAAAATGAGCCGGCCGCAATGCGGGTCAGTGCGTTCCGGCCAGAATCGAACCGGAACACACTGCTTATGGTGTAAACTAGACCTTAAAGTGGGCCTAGCATCCGATTTTTTCATGTCAAATGCATGCATGCTGTGTAAGGCCTTGTTCACACCAAATGCAGATCAGATACAGTCAGGTTTCTGCACACGCACGCTAGTCTTTTTGGTGCGTTTTTGATGCGTTTTTGACGCTTTTTTGGGTAAAACTCTAGCACTGACTCAGCTGGGGATGTGTCAGACCTCTGCAGAGAGCAAGGGTCTTTCTTTACAGCATGCTGGCAGGGGGCAGGCTTTTCTACTCAGGTTGTAGCTCTACAAGCTGTCATTGTTTGCACATTTGTTTTGATGCACCTGCAATGTATTAAGCTGATTTAAATTGAACGTTCAGTTGGGCTTTAAGGACTTTCCCTGCCTAGTTATATGCTGGAGGCCCAGTGGCTCTTCCTCCAATGCAGAGAGCCCTCTGTTGTAATCACACATTTTATCAGAGCCATAAATCAGACAGACCCTGGACACACTTACGTTACAGGAGACTGCGCCAAGCTCCATCTCTGCTTTATTGCGCGCTGATAAAATTACAGAAAATGCAATAAAATTGACAGCTTTATGTGGATATATGCCTTCATATCATTTTTCATTTCACTGAAATGATCCATCAGGGTTTCGGACCCCGGAGGTGTGAGTGTTGGGTGTGTTACTATTTTGTTTTCAGATACAGATGTTTTCTTTTAAATAAACGCCGTTCAATTTTAGGTGCAAATTTACCTTAGATGAGTGTGAAAAATGACAATGGGAGTAGCACATAATACTAATAATAATAGCACACAGTCCAAATATTTTTATTATTGTTGCAACCTCGGCACTCCAGCTGTGGTGGAGCTACAAGTGCCATCATGCCTCTGCCTCTGGGAGTCATGCCTGCGGCTGACATAGTCTTGCAATGTCTCATGGGATTGGGGTGCCGAAGTTGCCTACCTCTGTTGTAGATTATAATCAGTATTAGAGAATAACATCATTCCGGCCGGCCTTGTAGTCATGATGATAGCGGCATGCCAACTATATTGGCATTGCTGCCAAGCAGGCAGTTACAGATATGGCTGTCTCTATAATGAGACAGCTTGGGGCAGTTGCCTCAGGTGGCATCTCTTTGGGTCACCCGGTGGGGTGGCAGGCAGAGCGGCATGGTCGCTCTGCAGCACAATGTTTGCAGTGTGTCTGCCATCTCCTTTCCGGCCAGCACTTTGCAGGTTGCTAAGAGCCGGGTAGGGAGATGTCTCTCTCTCTCCACCCAGCTCTTAGCAGCCCAGGACGCTCTTGCCGGCATCCCGTGGGCTCCTGGCAACCAGTGATGACCAGTGAGGGGTTGGAACACCTGCCAGGTCTTTATTGCTTTCTCTGTTTGTCCTGTGACCACCACCAGAATAGAGGGGAAATCTTCCAATGGGTTTTGGTGACAACTGTGTTGTGTCTACAGTACAGGAAATGATTGGAAATCTCCCCAATGTGACTCAGATGGATAAAAAAAGAAACTGGTGGGGGCCTTAAATATACCCTACTCCAGGGGTAGGCAAGCCCGGCGCTCCAGCTGTTGCGGAACTACATAATGCAAGGCTCTGACAGCCACAAGCATGATTCCCAAAGGCAGAAGCATGGTGGGTTTCATTATGTAGTTTCATCACAGCTGGAGTGCCAAGGTTGCCTACCCCTCCCCTACTCTTTTTTAAAGGTTTTAGATATACTTTGATGTAAACAATTAATGTTGCGCTAATCTTTTTGCCTGATTTCCTGTTCCTGTGCCACGTACTAGACTTCCTTAGTAGGGCATCACCTTTAAAGGTATTATCCATCCTTATTAGCTATATTGTATCACAGTGGTGGCAAACCCATCCTGATATCTCCTGCACCCTCTGCAGTAAGAACAGCTTTCCATTGAATCCCTCATATTAATGAACTGGATGTCTGGAAGAGACAGGGAGCCCGCTTTTCGGGGTGGAGGCCTTGCTCTCCTATGATCATTATTGTTTAACCTGTTTAACAATGCAGCACTATTGCTAACTTGAGAAGCGCATAGACACAGTGGTTGATTTACTAAACGCAAATAGGCTGTTCACATTGCAGGGGAATTTCCCTTTAGCTAGGTGAATGCGGTGAAAAGTCACTTTACTAAGAATACCCAATCACATGCAAGGAAAATAGAAAACAGTATTTTTGCTTGCATGTGATTGGATGATGGGAGTCTGCAGAGCTTCAGCTCATTCCCAAAGCTAAGGAAAAATTCCCTTGCAAGGTAAACAGCCTTTTTGCCTTTAGTAAACCAACCCCATAGTATTTAAATAATTTAGGGCCCATTTACACTGTTGCAACATGTTAAAATGCATATGTCCAATTTCCCCATAATAGAATTAGTGTCTGCTTCCATTTCAGCATTGCAGAGCATTTTAAAAAATACAATATAGGAGGATTTATCAAAACTGGAGCAGACAAATTCTGGAGCAGTTGCCCATGGCAACCAATCAGCTTCTCTCTTCAGTTTGTTCAGTTAAGATTGGAAAATGAAAGAGAGAAGCTGATTGGTTGCCATTGTCAACTGCTCCAGAATTTGTCGGCTCCATTTTTAATAAATGCTCCTCAATGTGTTTCAGTACATTAGGGGGGTCTGTAGAAGTTAATGGCAGTGCATTAAAACGTATCTAATGTGTGTTTTGATGCGCTGGCAACAGGTATTAACAAACCTTGGTCGATGGCTGTAAACCCTATCCTCATCGAGTTCAAAAATGCATTAGAAAAGGATGTCAAAAGGCTTTGCAACACACAAAGAAACCCATCTTGACGCCGGTCAACGCACCTGCCTAGCGCGATGAAATAGCGTACTTCTACGCACATGAATGGATCTAAATAAGCTTTTATACAGCTTTTTCAAGCAATGTGCAAACCACCTTATGGCACATCAACCAATCAGCATTGTTTATTCCGCTGATCTGGCTGCTATAAACTGACATCTGATTGGTTGGAATGGGGTATTGCACTTCATCCCTGGCACTGACGCTCCAAATTAGTTTTAAAATGTTTCCTAGCTGCTAAACTTGAAGTGTTTTATATGGCAAGTCACAGGCTTTAGTGTGAAGTTTCTATTGCTGTGCGTAATATATTGCCCCCTTCGTCTCTTCATACCAGTACTGTGTAAGGATAGAGAAGAATCCCGGCCTTGGATTCAGTATCAGCGGTGGACTCAGCGGTCAGGGGAACCCATTCAAACCTTCTGATAAGGTGGGTGGATGAGTCTTGTGCTGTCTTGTTTTCTTTTGTGCCCACACGCAAACACATACAGTGTTATTGTTTTCTACTAGTACGCAATATTAATTCCCCATATAGAATATACTGTATCAACATTTTTATTTACTTCTGTGGCGCCACCATACCGTAGTCTATAGCGCCTTATGGAGTACATTGACAACATCAATTCCGCGCCCCAGGGGAGCCTCCCTCCTAATACTCCTGCCACATTTATACATTCACTGCGGCCAGTTTTAGGTGGAAGCAAATTTACCTAAATAGCCAGTTAGCAGCTCTACTGAAGCTCAGGTAGAGATCACATGACCAAAAGCTTGGCATTTGGTGGGAGAGTACTGGACTCTTAAGCGGAACTCCAATCAGTGCTAAAAATAGTTAATTTGTCCCTTCCTAGAAGATAAAGAATATTTTTTTTCCATCGGATGACTTAAAGCCTATCTCTTCCTCCATACTGCAAGGGTTAACTGTTCACTAATGTCTAGGGGAGCTGTGTAAATGACTTTTATTTACCGGATCCCCGTTTTCTATAAATGTGGGGAATTAAATAAAGGTATGTTTTGTTTAATATATTGTATGTGAGTGATTTAGGTTTCTGTTGTGGTATCTCGTAAATGAGGATTTTGATTGTGATATTAAATTGTATCTGTTATAAGAAACTAGGACCAGCCAAATACTGTACCCGCAAATGTACAAATATCGTTATTCTGTGCTATTGCTTCCTTGAATTTTGTGCCATTTGATGGACATCACACACATGAACATCTCCATAGTTGCCATTTTTAAAACATGAATTTCTTTATTTTTTTGGTTCATGAAAAACTTGAAGGAAGTTTTGTATGCAATGTAGGAGCAGTGGGGGGGAACACATTAGCTAATTGATTCAAGTGCTGGCTGGAAAGGTCATACGCAAGCCCACATACTGTACCAGTGGGACTTCAATCATTTGATACACTTAGTCATTAAAGAGGCATATAATTACAGGACTGCAACCTGCTATTAACTCTAATATTCTCCATCTAGTGCACAAATAGTTCCTAAAAACCTCTTTGTGAATTATGGAAAGGTGAACAGGTAATATGAGGCATAGTATTTCCTTAAAATGTGAATAATATTCAAAGTGACCCTGTCCCTATACTACACGTTTTCATTAAAGCTATACCTGGCAAAAAAAAACAACTGTGTATGTCAGTGGTGGTCGACTGACTTAAAGTAGGAGCCTCAAGTGTTGGCCCAGACAAAACTAAAGGGCGTCAAAGGATATTCACTGAATGCAATGCTACAGAAAGCTATCAGGGACTGCAGATATGTAACAGGAGCTGGTCAGAGACCATGGGCATGCTACACGAGATGATCAGAGACTATAGGGATGTTACAAGTGATGGTCAGAGAATATGGCCTTGTTAGAAGAGGTGGAGATGTTCTGAGACTATGGTCATACTACAAAAGATGATCAGAGACTATAGCCATGCTATGAGAGAGCCTCAGAGACTGCAACCATGCTACAGGAGATGGTGAGAGACTGGGGACATACTTCAGGAAAAGGTCATAGACTGGAAAAAAGAGCATGCAGTACTGTTACAGATATCCCAGGAGCTCTTTGGCTCCACTGAAACCATTCAAGCATCAGTCAAGTTGTGCAGGACTGCACTGGGCTGGGGCAATTCAGCATGTGATGTCACAGAGTGACTATGATGTCACAGGGTGACTATGGGTTACATGCACATCATGCAACTGCACAGTGTCCTCTAGGTCTAATTAAAAAAGCCAGGATGCAACCTGACACATGCTAGCATGATTGGTTGCCATGGGTTGCCTTGCAGATTAAGCCTGCATGCGTATCATGTTGTATGCGCCATTCTGTTGATGTATGTCATCAGTGCCGTGCTCCCAACACACCTTCCGAAGTGAGTCGCCTCCATCTATTTCCGTGGACACCCAGAGGCATCACACTTAGCACAACTTCAGTGTAGAGCAATCGCGATAGATGCCTAACCTGTGTTTCTGACTTATAGGGTATCTTTGTTACTAGGGTTCAGCCTGATGGACCAGCGTATGGGGTACTCCGGCCTGGGGACAAGATCCTACAGGTAAGCTTACCTTGACTAGCAATTATTCATGTCTTGTCAATTTATTGCACTGTGCTACTCATTGGTGCACTATCTTGTATATTGAGATTATTAGGGATGAGCTCAGGTTTGGACCAAACCTGGTCTGAACCGGAGCTCCTCCGAACACGGAAGTGCTATGAGCCACCCGCCCAATTGGCTGTGGCCTGGGGAATTCCCCGCCCCGCACATAAACAAAGGAGCGGGGTGCGTGTGCTGATGTCATTGATCTTATATGGCCACATTAGGTCAAAGTAATTTATCAAATATAGTCATGTGGCCACATAAGGTCAATAACGTCACTGCACCCCGCCCCCTGGGGAATTCTCCGGCAGCGGAAGGAGCTTTCTTCTGTGTTTAGAGGAGCTCAGATTCAGACTAGGTTCAGCCCAAACCCGAACTGATCCCTAGAGATTATATATTGTGTATTATGTAAATTTAAAGCCCAACTCTGGTCAAAATCTTTGTTTCGGATAAAAAAGGGTAAAGCCTCTCCCAAGTTCTTTTTTGCCATCTCTGTCCCTTCAGGGGTCCCTAATGGGAACTATTTTAGTAGAGTGGAGAAGGGTTATAACATCTATAGAAAGTTCAAACATTTCACCGGCACACCCTCATGGAATCGAATATCAAAATCCTGATATACAGGTAAAACTCGAATAATTAGAATATTGTGCAAAGTTCATTTATTTCACTAATACAACTTATGCGGTGAAACTAATATATGAGATAGACTCATTACATGCAAAGCAAGATAATTCAATCCGTGATTTGTCATGATTGTGATGATTATGGCTTACAGCTCATGAAAACCCCAAGAACCCCAAATCCACAACCTCAAAAAAGTAGATTATTACATGCAATCAATAAAACAAGGATTGTACATAGAACAATATCAGACCTCTGAAAAGTATAAGCATGCATATGTACTCAGTACTTGGTTTGGGCCCCTTTTGCAGCACTTACTGCAATTACTTTTGCACGATATTCTAATTATTCGAGTTTCACCTGTATTTAATAAAGTGCAAAATGTCACATAGCGTCATAAGGTGCTGACATTTCGGGTCCACGCAGGGATCCTTCTTCAGAGCGACATAGTAACCGTGACAATGTTTGTAGAGTTGCTCCTGCCTTCCCATCCTGTGACAATCGGTCCCAGGTGTCACAGGAAATCAGGGAAAATTGCCGCTGTGGAGTCACACATATAAAAAATATATATATAAAAAAAACTTTAAGCAGATCTACACTCAAATCTTAGCCTAAAGCCACAATGAAGTTTAGGTAAAAGTGAAACCTTTATCTTTAGTTTTGGCTAATGTAAGGAAATTTTAAAACCTCTATAAGGTTTTATTTACAGTCTATGTCCTGCTGGAGTAGTTTCCCTTTACTTCCCATCCAGGAGATGCAACAGGAAATATGAGGAAATCTCTCCAAAGTGAGGAAAATTCCCACTATAGACTATTGTCACTGGAACCTCTGTCCCCATTGAAGGATTTCCCTTCACTTCTTGCCCTAATGGCAATTCTGGATTCTGCCATCACCTTCAGACCCAGTGACATTGGTCACCAGTACAAATAGAGGGCGAATCTCCCCATCAGAGACATAAACAGCAAAAAAAGAACAGGACATCTCACCACGCTATCAAAAACTAAAAAAAAATAGGTTTTGCATTTAAAAACACTATAACAGTCTTGCTGGTAAGCTTAGGTTAGGATTCATAGTAGAACAAAAATATATTCTTTCTTAAAAAGGCCCCTTCCAGTGATTGTCACATAATCAACCAAATAACCAATCTGAACTCTGATCCTCCTCCTCAACTGAGATCCTGTGACGAAATGCCTAGGCTTTTGGGTTCTGGGACCAGCACTGGAAGGAGCCAAGAGCAGAATTGACTCTAGGAAAGATAAATATTTGAGCCCTTCTCTTTATTTATCAATCGCAGCAACACTGATAAAGTGTACTTTGGGGCAAAATTAATTAAAAAACACCATCATACAGTTCAGTTCTGCAATACATGCATTGGAGATTTGTACTGCATATGTTAGGTTTTATTTTTCCCAGACATACGCTTGAGGGCCCATTCACACCGGAGGAAGTGTATTAGGGTGCACTTAACGATCACCCACTGGTGTGCATTGTGCAAGCACTGCAATGCGTTGTACAATGCATCACAGTGTTCGTTTTTCTTTAAACTTTATTACATGAAAGTTTATGTAACTTCATGTGTGTCAGCGCATTGTGATGCATTTTAGCACTGCGCTGCACAAAGATGCAACATGTCCTACCTCTTCTCAATGCAGACCAAAACAGCCTGTAGGTATGAACTGAAGAGTTGAGGAATGTAAGGCAGTTTGCCTTGTCTATGCATTAGGACTACATTTTCCCAAAAGCACAGGTATGAATGAGCCCTGAATAAACCTTTAAAGTCCATCTCCAGACAAACAAAAAGGAACCTTGCAGTGGGGCTACCCCCACAATGAAAGGGTTAGGTGACCATTTTGTCCAGGGGCCGGAGTAAAACACATTTACTTACCTGATCCGGGCTCCCATGGCAGTTGGCACCCACCTCTCTTCCCTTTGCTCCAGCTGGTGGAATGTCCCTCGGCATCCTCACATCTAGTGCATGTCTATGGAACCTGCATTAGATGTGATGATGTCAGCCGTCCTTAGACTGCCAGAGCGTAGGGGAGAAGAGACTGCAGGGACAAGTTCCAGCAGCCCGTAGGGAGCCAGCGGGAGTGGGGATCATGTAAGTAAATCTGCTTTACTCCAGCCCCTAGACAAAAACAAGCACTTAACCATTGCAGTTTGGGGCTAACCCCACTTCATGGATATTTTGTTTTTGCCTTGGGCTTTAACATTTGAGTAAAGTCTAACAAAAATGAATTTAAAAAGATATAAAAACACATTTAAAATGAATATTTACAATGTTTAAAAATGTGCGTAGTTTGATTTCTTACACTTGTTCATATGACGTTTGATGTATTAATATTCCTTATTTACCAACTGTTAGCAGAAAGTGGCAAGCCTGATGAGAAAAACATGTCGTGTGGAGTCTCATAATACAGCTGAGATCTCCATCCCTATTCACACAGTCACATGCAGCGAGGCTAGACGTCCCGGATTGTTTCAGCACTAACAGAGAAATCCTTCAAGTATACGCACACTGCTGTGTTTTCTGAATAGGAAGCACAGCATGCCTGTGTTCTGAACAGTTATAAAGGAAGCAAGTAGAACAACAATTTTAGGTTCTTTTATTTAACACGGATATTGGAAAATATTTGTAAGCCTTTTAATTTACTTTATTTAATTTTTTTTTTTTAAATGTAACTAAAGCCTAAACTTTCTTATTGCTGTCTTTGTCACCGTTGTGGAAAATCACTCTCTCTTGTTTGTCCTGGTGACCATTGCCACCTAGACAGAGAGCGATCGGAAATCCAAAAATGGTATTGCTGTCATCAGAATAGGAATGGAGAGGAAATGTATTTGTATTTATTTATTACAGGTATTTATATAGCACCGACAATTTACACAGTGCTTTATATAGTTGGACATTCACATCAGTCCCTGCCCCCAAGGAGCTTACAATCTAAGGGCCCCATCTCAAATACAGGGCCAACATAGATAGGAGCCAATTAACCAACCAGCTTGTCTTTGCAGTGTAGGAGGAAACCAGAGTACCCAGAGGAAACCCACACATGCACAGGGAGAACATGCAAACTCATTTGCCGGATAGTGACCTGGCCAGGGACCCCCAGTGCTGCAAGGCAGAAGTGCTAACCACTACGCCATTATGCGTAGTGGTTAGCACCACTATGCTGCCCAAATGCTGCCCTGTCCGTTCCTCCAGCTCTGACTGGAGGAACGGACAGGGGAGGGGGTGGGCTCAGCTGGCTCTGCTTTTAGATAGGCAGAGCCCGCTGTCAATCAGCCAGCTGGGTGCATCTTGACAGTATTGTCGGGATCTGTCCCGGCTGCTGCACTCTCAGCATATAGCGGGCAATAGCCTGGCAATAGCCCGCTATATACCGAGCTTTGAGTCAGGAGGTTAGTATATGTCTTCCCATGACCCTTAAGAGAACTATGGGATAAAAAGGTTACCCCATAGTTCTCTTTTAACTGCAATAGAGAAAAATCGGGTCTTCTGCCCTGCCAGACAGGACTGTTTAGGTTCAAAGTTCAATTCAAACCATTTTTTTAGCAGTTTTGGATGGATTTAAGTACTTCTCTGTAGGCTTTATTGATCTTTGTGACCTGCTGAGGCAATTTCACCTTGCTTCCTCTCCCTGTGACTACAGGACAGAAAAAGAGGGGATCAGGTTTTCGGGACAAGAAGATACAGTCAGATAGTAATACTGACCCGAATGAAGATGGTGGAGAGCTGAACACTAAGCTTGGAAAAGGCTCCAAATAAATCAAAAGATTGCTGGAATGTGGCAGCTCCCAATGGTGTCCCTGGGAAATTGAGCATGTATGGAGTGACAGGTTAAGAATGCCAAACCTTAGGGATTGGTCCAGATATAAATCTTTATTTGTCACCAAAAAAGGGTCTTATCAAAAGCCAACATGTCTGGGGGGTTGTAAAAAAAAAAAAACCCTTCATCAGGGCTTAGTATTACTGTGTTACTGTAATCTGGACAAATGGCTACTCCTGAGTTTTTATTCTGTGTGAACTGTGGTGTGTGAGTTCACTTAGTGAGGTATTTGTCACCCAGGCAAACTCAGGAGTGACTACCTGTCCATATTCCATTTGAACAATAATGCTAAACTCTGATAAAGGGAGATTGGTACATAACCCCCAAAACATGTTGGCTGCCAACTCTTGATAAGAACATTTTGTTGTGACAAATAGAAAATCATATCTGGACCAATCCCTATGGCTCGGCATTCTCATCATTTCACTTGATATGAGTAATAACAATGTAACAGAGTTTTTATCCCTTTAACTGAATTTGGAGAGTGCTTTGTTGGAGTTGGTGTAGCCA